GTATCAAAGAACATGTTTGTGTTAGCAAAATAGAGTCATTAGGAGTGCTTTCCCCAGTACACCATAGACAATAAACATGGTTACACATCTTGCTTGATTAAATTAGTGAACATACAAGTCTGAGAGTTGCTTCTGGAGGCAGGGACATCAGCTTTCACAGTAAGAATCCCCCCAGAGCATTGGAGATTCTTCTAACAGGAGGGAAATGAGCAGTGAGAGGAAGCGTTGTTGGCTGAGGCACGTGAGATGTTGGTGTCAGACAGCATGGGGGGATTCTTTCTCTGACAAGGAACCAAACAGCCTTTGGATGCTTAATGCAACAAGTCTGGCAACAAAGTATTTTCCTTACGTTGTTAGCAGTACCTTAAGGGCTCTATTGTAAAGAGCACGGTCAGGTTTCACTGTGCTGATCTGACATGATACACTCCCCACTTGCTCCCTGTCTCCTGTACAGAATTTCTGCAGAGGTATAGGGAAGGTGCACTGAAATGACTCCAGGAGAAAGTTCCCATAGTAGGGAGATTTGCCTTTTTCTAGTAGGACTCAGGAGATTGTTTTCCTTATTATGTGTGATAGGTAGCACCAGTTTTACATTCTTCAAATCTTGCCTCTTTCACCTGGTGCACATTGTGTAGATGAGGAGTTTCAGCTGTGTTAACAGGACTGAGGCTGTGTGTTGTTTGTTTATTATTTCTGCCTACTATCTCAATAGGGTTGGTAACTGGAATAGAGATGATTTTTTTTCTTTTCAGCAAATGTTTTGTTCCCTGTAGTCTGTGTGGTATTTAATACCACTTTGTAAAGCTTCCTCTCCTGCTTCAGTATATAATTTGCATTGAGGTCAGAAAAGGAAAGGAGAGGAAGTAGAGCACTGTTGTCATCTTTGTAGACCGTTGTCATCATCTGATAGCAACGAAAAGGTGAGGGTCATCAGAGATGTTGCTTTGCTTTACCAAGAATTTTTTAGAGAACAGTGCTCATTTGAAACAATGTCTGAAGAGTCTTCAAAGGATGTTCTATTTTTCAGTAACATCACTCATGAATTAACTTTTAAAATAACTACATCAAATATCACTGACCAGCAGAATGACTGGCAAATCATCCTGCAAATGCAGAGTAATGAAGCTGCACAAAGAAGGCAAATAATGTTTCTAAAAAATATTGTATTAACAGTAGGAAGAGTCCTAGGATCTTTTTCTTGCTGTTTAGATTTTTATTAGCTTTTTTCTTTTTTCTTGATGACTTCAACATTGGAAATAGAAACATTCCATAATGTTTCCATTTTCCTGTGAGCCTTCAGGGTCACTTTTGTAAACATAATCTCAGTTGATTGCAATAAAGATATTCAGAAATCTACTTCCATACTACGCATTCAAGTTTGAAAATCAAGGACCTCATGGGGAAAGAAAATCTGATTCATTTGTTTATTGAAAGATGATAGAGGTCAGATTGTGTTATTGTTTAAAACTGAGAATCTGGGACATGGTGTTAAACCTGAGTAAAGTGGGAATGGTACCTTTTCGATTTAATATATTCAGTATATTTTTTTTCATCATTATGTTCATGATTTTGAGATGAAGGACAGAAATTTATCAGCCAAAAATAATGCAGTCCTTATTTACATTAGTTAATGTATGATGATTTCCATAGACTAAAATAAGGCATGTATAAGCATGTTCACAAGGGAAGCAGGGGCAGCCAAGTGCAATAGTTACTGCTGTTTTACTTGCCAAGTTAGTATTTAGCTGTTGTCAGAAGACGTTGTTCTTGTCATTAATTTCACTGTCTCTAGATAAGATTTAATTTGAATAACTTTTAGAGGGTTCTGGATGCAGACTTATGAATTCTGTGACTCATTTATCATATTGAAGAATTGTGTCAGGTTTTGACACTTTTAATACTACTCACCAAGAAGATTTAAACTACTTTGATTTCCAGTCCGTTTTGATTTAGACTGCTTACACATCTGTATTGTATTAATAAATGAATTTTATTAATTTCTGTATTTCTGCAGTACACCAATTCTTGGTTTCGAAGACTTGTGTTGAAATTTTTGGGTACTACCTGTAGCGTTAAAGCATTGTCTAGAAATGAAGATACATCCTTCAAAGAAAGTAGTGTTCCTTTCAGTGTACGGATCCACATTTTCCTATAAACATGTTCAGATTTCCTGGATTTTGAACCTGCATACATCTCTTGCTCTGCCTTTGTTGATTGTCACTGAGGTTGGATATCACAAAAAAGTTCTCCACCAGATGGTGGTCAGGCACTGGAACGTGCTTCCCAGGGAACTCCCCAGGGGAGTTCAAGGAGCGTTTGGACAGTGCTGTCATGAGATCTGATATTTTTTTGAGTGGCCCTGTGTGGAGACAGGAGTTGGACTTAATGATCTTTATGGGTCCCTTCCAACTTATTCTGTGATCTACTGTGAAAATGATTTCTTTCTCCTTTCATTTGACTTTTCTGTTTTATATTTCCCTGCACTCTCTTCGGTTGGTTAATTTAACACTGTGACAATGTTTTCACAGCAGTAGGGCTCTCATGAGCTTCACCCAACAAACTGGTTGACAGTATCACAGAGAACGGCATCTGTGAGTATCTCACAACTACTGGAATGTTGCACGTGTGCCAGGGAATTTTAGAAGCTGCAATAAAGAGTAAGAGGGAAGAAGAATGAACAGGTTTAATGTTAAGCTTATATCTTTGAAAATATCTTCTACAGAGACCATTCCTGAATGATTTTTGCCTGTGAGACTTTTTGCTGTGTGTGCAACTTCTCTACCTGAAAGATAGAGTTCATCTAAGTGCACAGAAAAGCCTTAAGTTCGGGAAGATTTGTTGTAGAGCCTGCATACCTCTTTGAGAGGACTGGTGCTTTCCCTGTATCTGCTCTGAATGGTGAAAACTTCATGTTACTTTTCTATGGTAAATTAAACTTGCCTAAAATGATCTGCAATGCTTTCTTATCCTAGATTAACACCAATTCAGTTGTAATTGAGTGTTATATATTCCTCCTCTAAATATATCACTGCTGATGATTACATTTAAATTAGTATAAAACATCTCTCCTTAATGCTGTATGTGTTGTTTATAAAAATATTGACTGTAAATGAGGCTTGGGCACTTAATTAGCTAGTTGCATCTAGATGATTTGTTCATTTGAAGTTTTATATTTTTTCATAGACTGAATAATTTGTTCCTTTCAAGGAAAAGTACCAAAATTTGTTGAAGTCTAAGCTACATAGGCAGCTGAAAAGCAACAAATTTTGTTTTCATTGCTGCAGCAAAGAAAGAACTGGAGACCCATGTGGAATGTGAACAGAAGGTAAAGAAATAGTTGCTGAATTTTGCCCTTCGTATTTAATATTCCAGTAAAGCTTTTAATCTCAGTTAAGTTTAGTGAAGTTATTTTCATGTTTGGAGGCAACACTGACACACTTTGATTTGCATAGAATACACACATCTAGTTCTGAGAGCTTGAGTCTGCTGGAATAGCCACTTATGTATTGCCATATGGGGATAATACTGCAGGGCCTGAGAGGTATATTTAGGCTGATTAGCTCACAACTGTAACTCATGTTCTGCAAAATCTGTATGTCCTGCTCTACTGATGATCTTTGCCTTGTGCTATGTTAAGCATTTATTCTGCATATGCTAAGATGGAAAGAGGAATCCATCAAGAGGTAGCTTCTTATCTTAAGAATCACAGATAAGAATTAGCTATGCCGGTCTTTAGTCAGAAGCAAAAAGTATAATGAGGACAGGGCCCAAAACACAAATCAGTATGTATTTCAGTTTCATCTAAGCCAAGGATTAGTTTGAGTCTTCTGCTCAGTTATTAAAAAGATATAGAAGTCTTTTATCCAAAGCTCGGTTACAATAAAATGAACCAACTCATTAAGATCTCAAACAGGCCTTATCCAAAGATCAGTATGAATATTTACATTGATTCCAGTGGACTTTTCATAGAGTCAGCCAAGAAACATTTATCTAATAGTCTAATGATTCCTCCTAATCTGAAATAGCCTTCTTTTCCTGCCAGCTTAACTGATCATTATCAGTACAATATTAAACATTAAGCACAACAAAGCCAGTTGGAGCTCAGCTGCATTAATTTCTAAGCAACATTTTTTTTCCTGCTATTTTTCATGAAATTGTTTTCACTTTAAGATATTTGTCACTTACAATGTGTATTTTATAAGCTGCATTAGATGCTGTTGGTTTGCCTAGCAAGAAATAATGTTCAACTACTTCTCTCTTTGTCCTTACCGAAGTAAGAAATGAAAATGAAGAAAGGCAGCAGTAGACTCCACTGATAATCAAGCTTGGATATGTAATCATATGTGTCCCTGTTTCTCCATAAACCATGAAATCAAATTCTTTAGTAGTAAACTGAAATTCTGAAAAGAGATATCAAAGTCCTCCACTCTGTTTTTTCTGCTTTACTGAAAGATTTCATTCTATTTCCCATGCTGAGCTCTTGGAGTTGGCATGGCAGTGCCAACGGTGTTTCTGAGGGGCTTATTTCTCCACCCAGTGGTTGTGCTTTGTTATTACACGATGTTACTTTGACGCTTTTTAAAATCCATTTTTCAGTGGGCTTCAGCACTTTTTACATGTACTTTATAGGAGAGAATTATAACTGAGCACTTTGAGTGGAGTTAGATTGACCCAAAGTAATCTGACAGGAATATTTTAAAGACTTTGAGACGCTATATTTTAAAGCCACTATGTTGTACTGAATTGTGATTTGATGTGGAAGATGAAGAAAAAAGCATCAGCTTTCTTCCTCATTGTATTCACAGAAAGATGCCAACTAAGAACTGTAGCAAGTAAATTCTTCCAGGGTGATCTAAGAGAGCTGAAGAAGTCATTGTTCATCACTCTCAGATCTTTCTTTAGTTACAACCTGCAGCCTGAGCTGACAGAAGGGATCAGATCCAGGGCTTTATTTTCTTACGTTCAGTGTGGTGCTGTAGCACACATCATTTATTTCAGAACGCATTTCCCCCTTCTAACAACTAGTGCTCTGGTTTGGAAGCAAAGGGAATAACTCCACACAGAGCCAGAAGAGTGCAATTCCTCCATTTGTATTAAGTTAAGCTTGTCCTGTTATTCCCTCTTCATACTCAAGATGCACATCGTCAAGTTAGACCAGGAAGAAAACAGCACTTCCCACTTCTGTTTAGCCATCACCTCAAATCTTGTTGTATGGGCTGTTTCAATAGGGACCTCCAGGGTCTTCCTCCCTTCTAGTGCAATCTGTGGAGTTAAATCAACATGTGTGTTGGAGCCAAGACTGTTATGCTACTGTAATTGTCAAGTTTGAAATCAGTGCCGTTTAACCACACACGCGCGCACACACACACAAAATCAGTTTTAAGTTATTTAACGTAACTTGCTGTGTTCTCTAATGTGATGGTATTCGCACCATTTTTTTCTGGGATGAGTAGAGCAATAGTGCCAGGCTGAGGTCATTTATACTAGAGAGAAATGCTTGAATTTAGCAGTATATTGCTGAAGGGAGGTTAATCTTAATCAACTGTCTATTGACAGAAGGTGGTACCAATTCCTGGCACTTACACTCTTTCATGGAAGTGGGCACCAAGCTAGGGACCATTTTGATTCTCCTTTTGTCTCTGTACTCTGAGAGAAACAGCCACCAGGGGTCTTTAAAAATTTCACTGTGCCACTGAGATATTGAAATAGTCTCTCTGCATATGCTTCTAACACACAGCTATTTGGCTCTGCCTTCATGGATGGCCGTAACACAATCATGTTATGCCATCTTATGGCTGGATAAGACCAGGCCAGTGCTTGTATGCATTGCTTTCCTTCTGGCTTTAGAGATTAATAATAACGCTTGCATTACAACTCATCTCAGTGAAGTAATTATGTGTAATTGCATAATTACCCGTTACAGTTGTTTGACTTACTGGCATTTGTACTAATTAAACTAATGTTATGCAAAACTACAAATTAATTTAAAATAAGAAAAGCACTGAGCACTGCCTCTTGAGGGTGTGTATATGCAGGCAGTAGTATCAACTTTGAACAGAAATGTTGATCCTACATCTTTTATTGAACATATCACACAGTTTTCTTTTATCAGGTAGAAGGATACAGCATTAAATAATAAACTATGTAACAATCCTAAACAAAACAAGATCCGAGGCTCTGGAATTTAAAAAAAACTTTCTTGCTCAAGAACACTTTCTATACTCTGATTAGTCAGAGGTGCAATTTCTCACAGACAAATAATCTTACATTTATTTATTACAAATGCTTCTCAGTGGTGGTCAAAACTAAATTTAACTTTATCTCACTCCTTGCTGACACACTTTATGTTCCTCTAGATCAAAATTCAGTATTTGAGTTTTGTTCCCAGTCTACAATTCTGATATGCAAATAACTTCAACACATTGACTTTTTTTGCTTATACAGTGAACTCCCAAATCAGATTGACAGGAATAAAATTTAAAATGTGAATTTAAATAAAGAAAACAGAAGGATTAGCATAATGAATAGCAAACAGAATGCTGTCTTTAAATCTGTTTTTGGAGATGTTCATAATCCTACAATTGCTTTCCTGAGGAAAATGTACTGCTTAGTTTGGACTTAGAAAAGCACAGTTTGTGCACTTACCTTCTCCATTTGAAATTTGTCCTATGCAATTCTTCAAAGAATAAATGTCAAAAATAATTTTTGCTGCCTGCATCCTGTTTTCTCCCTCAATCTTTGTGTGCTACTTAATTTTATGACTATAATAAGGCTTTGGTTGCTGTGATGCATTTTAGCTGTAGGGAAAAGAAGACAAGGAGATAATTGTGTGCTCCAAAAACCTGTAGCTAACTGCTCTGGCAGTCTAAATCTTTCTCTAAGGAGGAGAAAGCTCTTTGAGTTTTTTACAAACCTCTAGAGTTGAATCTGGTGGACTTTACGGCTTCATAAATCCAGGAAATGTAGTATTGTGGAGAAGACATTTCGTTTGAGAAATCTGTGCAAGAGAAGTAAAAGTATTCGATTTCCTCAAGGAAGAAACTCTATAACCTGTAGCAATACTGTCTGTTCTTTACAATAACAGTTCTGATAGAGTTCACCTGAAAAGGAAAAGAATATGTAGAAGCTCTTGAAGCTGAGTTTAGTTGTGCAGTTGCTTGTGCAAACTGAGAGATGCCTAAAGAAAATTCCAGCCAGAAAATAGAGGGAGGAGCTGTTATTTTGTTTCTTACGTCTTTGTTTTGATTTATGCTTTTTTTAAAAATATCCTACAGCTTCTTTGTAAGTTAAATGATGATAATGAAATTATGTGAGTTAAATGATAATAATCTAACAGTCTGGAAAGCTGTTAAGATATGATGAAATTGTACCATTTTTCTTCCAAGAATTTTATGTTCTCCAAACAGTTTCAGTTTTTCAGAAGTATGCTTGGAGGTCTCCTGATACACTGAGGTACTCTGGATGACCAGACGGTTTTAGAGCTCCCTTTGGTGGCAGAAGGCCAGAATTCTAACAGAGTGCTTCCATTTGCAGTTTAAAGCTGAGGAATTGTAAGACACGTACCAATACTTTTTGGCAGTTAACTGGCAAATGCTCTATTTATGAGACTTTTTATTTAGCTAGATGCTGATAGTGAAAGTATTGATTTTTCTTCAGTTTCTTTAAAAAAATGAAAGGAAATATGAGTAGAATCACAATTTAAAGCATTAGAGATAGCAAAAAGTCAGCACTGCTGACCTCTGTAATAGAGACTGCGGGTAAAGGAGAATAGCAAAACCATTTTACATTATGCAAAAACAGAAGCCAGAGCAACAACAGTTCCTCTGGCTTCTATGAAAAAGTCGTTCAATGAATTTGAATGAGTCTAGCATTTTTTTTTTAATCTCACTGATGAGGCATTTATTGCTATGATATGTCAAATACTACAATTTGTCTTTTTTTCCAAGTTTCAGAAAATAAAAATATGAGGCCTTTCAATAGAAGACTAGTAAAATGATATGCTGGTGACTGTAAACTTAAAGAAAATCATGGAATAGTTTTCTGACAACGTTGTTCTTTTCTTTTGGCCTTTGGAAATGATCTAGCATTTGTTAGAAACCTTCAGATTCAATAAATAGCTGGGAAGTTCTTAATATCCTTTCTGAATTAAATAGGGAGCGTACAAATACAGATCCTAAATTGCTCTCCAGTTTCTATGCACTGAAGTACTGGTGCCATTACAGATGGAGCTCACCCCAGCTTATGGTGCACATGGAATCGTTACAAGGTTTGAACTCCTTCTATTCTGACATTGCAAAAATGATAGCCCAGCTACTTGTACTGATTTTAATAGCAGTCATAACTGTTCATGATAGAGTATCAAAACATTCTACACAGATGGGTCATGGTTTCATCTAGGCAGAACACTGCATTTTGCAGACTATTGGTCAAAGGTCAGCACATTTCAAGTTCTAGTTTTTCACTTACATACTGTTGTGTTTAAAAGTATAAAGCATAATTAAATAATTAACGTTAAACTGCCAATTTACTCACATTAAAAGCCTTATTACAGACAGGTATTGGCAATTCGTTTTCATATGAGATGGGAATTTCCTTCTTGTCATTAAATTTCATGATACTGGTATCTTTTTATATTTTTCCTTAAATGATGTGGAACATAGTTTATCAAGACTATAATTAGCCACTCTCATATGGCTCAAATTTAGTTGCACAGACTGAGAATTAATCTTTTCTAAGGATTTATAACTACATAGTTTGACCAACACAGAAATCTTCTTCCTGGAGAAACTAATGATCACTGACTTCTTAAAATCACCTCCTACTTCCTTCTTTGAGTACTAGATTTACCTCAAAATGTTTCATCATGCTTATAATTTTTAAGCATGAGAATCATTCTATTAAACTCATTATCTAAATTAGCATGTGCTCAAGTGTTTATCTGAATGGCATTTTAATTAGGAGAATGGTATGTACAAGACCTGGGAGACAGATGCACATTTCCTTGCTGCTGGCTCCTTGTTTCTTCCTCATCTCTATGCTAAGGACATTGCATTGAATTGGCCAATGGATCTTAAAAATAATTTGATATTGTCTGAGTGTAATATGTGATAACAGTGTGTTTGTTCTCCTGGTTTGCACTGTATTTATCAGTGAGAGAATAGAACAGCCAGATGAGCCAGTTTAGTGCCATAAACAGATTTGTTAAGGAGACACTCAGGTCATTAACAAAATGTTGAAGAGAACTACCCCTAGAATAGAGCTACTTTTCCTTTTTCAGATGTGAAACTCCATTTATTTCTTGGAAATTAAATACCTTCAGGTGTTCCAGAGTAAATAGTTACACCCACCCCCTCTAGCTTTAACAACAACCTGAGTTAAGTATAAGAAGGACAGCTTTCTAGTCTCCCTGCAAACATGTAGTTATCCCTACACGTAATGACTTCAAAACGCCTGAATCTCCCCTGTTCTATATTCAGTTCTGAATCTACCATGCTCGAGTACTGAAAATTGATTCTAGTATTAGCACTTTGAAATCAAAATTAGTCAATTATTATCTCAGTTTTAGTCCTCTATATGGAAGGAATCACTTAAAGTGTTTTCTGTTTATATATGCAATGTTAGTAGTGTGAATCATAAAAACAGATTTTCCCACACTTTCAGATGCTCTATGAATGTGTGCTTTTCACAATAACCTACACCAGTTATGGAATTTCTGTGGATACATTTTTATGTGGGACTTTGTCACAAAGTTTTAACGTATTAGCAAACAGCCCTTTCCTCATGAAAACGCCTTCAAGCTCCAGATGTCATGTGCGCTTATTGGCAAGCATTTCTTTTGTTATGCCCACCAACTGTAACAGGCTTATTTGTGGATTAGCTGTGTCTCAGCTGTAAAATTAATTCAGGAGCACAGCCTGCTGTTCCAAATGAAATTGCAACAGAAGGAAATGTAGTTTTCCCCGAGTTTGTCTTTTAGAGGTGTGTATAATTGGCTAATGCCATTTTGTCTTTTTGTTTTTTGGAGACAATTAATCAATACTTTGCCATGTGTAACTTTTATTTTCTATTTTCAGTACGTTGCGGTGTACAAACAGCAAATTCAGATTATCGTGTCCTCTAGTGCTCAAGGAACCAGGCAACTCAATTAACTGTTCTTATTGTGGTGGCAGCGTTAGCAATTAATTTTGAGCTACACACCCATGAACCAAAGCCTCTAGTTTTCAGCTTTCTGGATTTTTAAAAATTTAAATTGTTGTTTGCAGAATAAATGCATTTTTTTTTCTCTCTTCTTCCACTCAGTTAAAGAGAAAACAAATGGCTCAGTGTCTAAAGCACTGCATTTGCACTCAGGTCCATGTTCCATTTTTTGTTCTGTGGTCACTTTTTCTGCTTTGCTGCAAGGAGGAACCACAAGATGTGGAGAGACAGCTGAGAGTTCATTTAGGGGTATGAATTTTTGGACACATTGTCCGCTCCAATTGTTTAGGTAGTGCTCTTAGCTGGGAAATTTAGGGAAATCTTTCCTAAAGATGGTAAGAATCAAGTCACCTATATCTGACTGTGACAGCACCCTGAGCTGATCCCAGTGCAAAATCCACAAAAGAAATTGAAAGAATTTTCAGCTGATCTAGAATCATAGAATAACTCAAATTGGAAGAGACTCACAAGGATCACTGAGTCCAACTCCTGGCTCCCTGCAGAACCACCCCAATCCTTATCCAATGTTAAAGATTGCTCTCTGAATGCTCCTTGAAATCCAGCACTCAGGGCCATGTCCACTGCCCAGGGCAGCCCGTTCCATGTCCATCACCCTCTGGTGCAGCACCTGTCTCTAACCCCCAGCTGCCCTCCCCTGACACAGCTCCATGCCATTCCTTCGGGTCCTGTCGCTGTCACACAGAGCGGAGCTCAGCGCTGCCCTCCTGCTCTCTGTGAGGAGCTGCAGCCGCCATCAGGCCTCCCCTCAGTAGTAGCTGAACAATCTGGGGCTCTGTGGACACCAGCAGTCTGAAGAAACATATTAGAGTTGCAGTGTTTTCAGCCTGTGTCCTGCCTGTTAGCCAACATAGTGAGTTATGCAGAGGTTTGCCTTCAGCTGGGTGAGATTAGGCTGCTCAGCTCTGCCTCACAGAGTGGGGACAAACAGCCATCATTCCCTCTGGCTGCAGCAGAGGAAAGCTGAGCCTCTGAGATAAATAGGGCTGATTTTTTGTTGTTGTTGTTGTTGTCAGAGCCAATTCAGTGCTGGGGAAGTAGCAACTGCAGTTATCCTTACATGGCTAAAATTTACCTGAGAATGAACTGTTCCTTTTCCTTCTGCCAGTGTTTAAACACGTTACATATGTAATTTGAAGGAAAGTAGAAGACAGATATTTTGCAAAGGAATAATGGCATTATAAAGGCTCATACTCTTTATTATGATAGAGATTATTTTACATACATGGAACCAAATGTATGATTCTTGGTTTTAGCTGTCCTTCCCCAGCTGTCCTTCCCCAGCTATCAAGTAAGTTTTCTTTTGCACTGTTAATAAATGGTGTTTTGTTGTGGTATTTTTGTTTGTTTTGTTTTTTTGGGGTTTTTTTCTGAGATTCTTCCTCTGTTTGTAATGTGGGCTGTACTATGACAAGACCTGGAGCAACACAATCCTGGAGTGAACCTCACCCTCTAACCACAGCCCTGCTGTGCTGTCACAAGGCTCTTCCCAGCATACTGTCTTGCTTGCCTTAAATCGAAGAGTCACCATTCCTGGATAAAGCTACATACAGGTCCAAACCAACTTGACCTCTTCATATTGCATAACCTTGAACAGTAACCTAGCTAAGTAAAGAATAATCTATGTTGTTTATACTTACTACTGTATGAAAAGGAAAAGCTGTTCTGTACTTTTTCAAGTTGCTACAAATAATTACTAGAAAATGAACAAGTGAACTTCTGGATTGTCTTCTAGAAACAGCTCACATAAAACATGGAACTTCAGAAGGAAAAGGGAGAAGAGGGTGTATGGGCAGCTTCTGTCAGTGTGTGTGTAGGAGTGCATATCAAGCAGGTGGAAATGAGGAGGTGGAGCATAGTTAAGGAGAGACTTAGGACACTCAGAGCTCCTTATTTGAGGGATAAGTTGAAGCAGGACAAGGAGTGGAGAAGGGATGAGATAAGGGACTTCCAAAATGGAGCAGGGAAGTTGAACAAGCTGCAATGTTGAGTTTCCAATAATTGGAAAACAAACAGGCAAACCCCCAAAACAACAAACCAACCCAAAAAACAACAAATGCATCACTGTCCAGGTGGTAATTTAATGAAAGTCAGATTTTCAATAAAAAAAATCTTAATGCTCAAGCCAAAGTATGAATTTACCACTGAGAGCCAAAAAAATGAAGATGTATTTTGAGCCTAGCTCACTGATACACAAGTGAGCCCCTGTCCATTGGGCTGCAGCAATTGCTTAATGGTCACTGGCAACAGGGCTCAAGGTAATTTAACAACAGAACAGGATGCTCTTGGGTGAGTTATAGAACCAACCTTCTATTCATATGGTCATTAATTAGGAATAATGATATTTCTGGCAATTATGCATGTAGCCAGAGGATGACTGGGTCCTATGTGCACAGGAAGAATATTGGAAGTCCTAAGGTTTTCACATACGTGCACAAATGCACGCTTCATGAAAAATAAACCATTTAAAATTGATGTACTTTAAAGCTGATATATTCTTTAAGGAAATCTCCTTCAAGCTATGTACCAAACCTTTAAACCATATTATACTTTATCTAATGCTGACGATGTGGGAAATTCTTGCTTATGTACAAGGCTGGAAATTCTGTTCTCAGGATGAAGTTTCTGGTGATGTGGCTATGTCTGCCTGAAGTAGAGAGAGAAATAATTTCTTTCTACATCTCTCAGACTAGGTGATGTTGGCCTAAAGCACTGACTTACAGCAGCTGCCTGGGGAAATAATGCTGTTACCTGCTGTGCTTATAGCAAGGCTGAGCTGCTTATAGACCTCGGGGATGTAGAAGAACTAAATGAGTGAAAATATTCTTTTCTTTTCATGCAAATATTGCATTTCTTGAACACAATTTTTTACTACAACCACACCAGAATCATCCCTGTAGTGAGAACATAAACATGGCTCAGGGCAGAGAAACCTGGACACATTGAAGAATCCCACACGTGTAATGTAAATTCATTTAAATCTTAATTAGCTTTAACTATGTGTAGGTGCGAAGAGAAAAATATGTTGTATGCTTTTACAATTGCTAGCTAGAACCCTGAATTACATTAACAGATAGTTTCTCTTCCCCAAAGAACGAAGCTTTTTTTCTGCCATTCAGTCACAGTTACTACATGAAATGATGATCATCTTTTTAAATAGCTCTATGCAGATGCTTTTTGTCTGTTCAGCATGTGATATTTCTGCAATATTTTCTCTAAATTGCTGCGACTGAGGTGTCCAGAGTGCAATCATTTTGCTGCCAACATTAAATTGACAAAGGATGACAGATAAAAACATTACATGTTGAAACAACTCAACTATCTGTCATTGGAGAATTATGTAATTCATCTCTTTGATTCCTAATTAGATTCTGATAACTGCTGTTAAGAGGATAGTTTAGTCTCAGGGTTTTGTTGTAACAAGTTTATTAGAATTTTACTAAAGAGAAGCTATGAGTGAAAAAAGAATATTCTAAGATGATTAACTTTGCTGTTTTCAAACTACATTACTGTGAGCCAGTCAGGTTGGGACAATAGCTCTGTACTGCTTCACTGAGAGACTGGGAGATAAAACATTTCACTGTATCTGAAGGATGCATTCTTTCTTCTTTACGGTTTTCACATTCAAATTTTGTGTTCCTTAGCCCCTTTTGCATACAATGTGAGAAGAATATGCAACAGAACATTATTCCTGTAATTTTGAGACCCTCATCCAGCTGCAAACCAGAAATATTTCAGTGGTTCAACTGAGAGTATTGCACGCAGAATGGGATGTGGATTATTCCTGGCCACTCTGTTTTCTGGCATGCACAGCAAAAGTCATAATGACGTTTTCAAGATCATTCCTTGCTCCCTCTGCGTGAAAGACTGTTTCAGTTTGTATGGAGATGCCTCCTACCAGATAGGCCAGGTCCCTCATCAGGAGGGCAGAATTTTGAACGTACCTTCCAGACCTACAGCAGGATCACATGTTACTGTCACACCGCTCTATGTAACGTAGCAGCTACACCATGCATACCAGACAAAATCCATGGAAAGGAACATGAGAGGAAACCTTATCATGTTTTATCAATGAAAACAACCTCTAGTTCTGTGTGGGTAGTCTTGGAGAACTTTGTGTCCAAGAGTATTTGGAGATAGGCATTCTTTAAATGGAGAAGAAGCTGAACAAGGTCTTTGCCCCTTGCCAGTCGGAGACATATCTATCACAGATTCTAAGGAATATGTAAGTAATTTGATTTTAAAAATATCTATAACATTGTTTTTGTAGGCTTGATCTCATTTATCAATATTAAATTTGTGCTAATTTTGGTTTTATAAATATTGATTGAAGAACAAGTGGTGAGCTTCTTTTTAGAACATGGATAGACTAGAAGCAAGACTTCCATTACTGTAACCTACCTAAGTATATTAAAAAGAATTAGACCAACTCAAGGATTCCACATAAACCAGAACAATTCTAATTCTCGTTACTGAGGATTCTTTTAAACTACTGTTTATCCTTTGATACAAATTACGTTCACTTGTACAATGATATGCAATACATTTGGAAACTCACCTTGTAGACACAGCATTTATAAGATTCTTTGCACAGTTCATCATTTCTGTACTTCTTTCTACCACAGTCCAGGGATTGCAAGGAGAAACTAGAAATGAAGAGAGAAGCGAGCCTGTAGTGTCTGAATTTCTCACTTTGCAAAGTTTAGTTCACTTTTGGTATATAACACAAGCCGTTTTTTTTATGATTAAACTGCATTTTACAATTTTTTTTAAACATAAATACTGTTTCTAGAAGTCTTTTAATTTATATATCTTTTTTTTTTTTTTTTTTTTTTTTTTTTTTTTTTTTTTTTTTTTTACTACCTTGACTACCCACATCTGCTCTTCACTTTCCCATGCTATTTCCCATGTCTCTACTGAACTGCTTCTGATAATCCAGCCCAGTTTACTTCAGAGAAAATCAGCTGGGTTACTATAGATTATTTTCATTGGTTAGTTGACTTTAACTAAGTGATTTTAATCACCATGGATTGGGGATTTACACTTTTCCTTCTATTCAATGGGGGATTTGGGAACAATTTCCAGTAAGGAGTCAATAACAAATTAGGGCAGGAATTTCTTCAGCAAACACTCCAGCTACTGTTCTGCAAGAAGAGTGTCTATCTCGTCACGTGAAGTACCTTAAGGTAAGGTTTCAACAAGAGGGAAATCTGAGGAATTAAATAACTGCAATATTGAATAGTTGTAACTGGAGAATAGCCATCTTGCTCCATGGGGACTTCAAAGGGAAATGAATGAAGAATGAAAGAATGGGAAAAAAGAAACAGAAAAAAAATTGAAAAAATGATAATAGTGGACTAGCTGCTCTTGTCCCTGTCTTGGATTTGGCTATTAACTGACCTACTAATGTCAGGAGTGTGTTTTAGACCATATTACCTGCATCAAAATATCAGCAAGCACAAGAAGAATCCTGGAGATCAAAACACAAAAGGAGATAGCAAGGAGAGACTTCTCCTACAGTACATTAAAAGCAGACATTCTCTGGAATTCCCTGCTGCTGTGTCCCTGGCAGTGCCTAGTCCCCCTCTGTCTGCAGAATACAATACCACGTAATGGGATTTACCTCCTCTTATAGCATAATTTGAAAGGAGAATGAATTACTTTCTACAGAAAAGATTCTGCAGGAGGATTGTTTCCTGGGACTAGTTTAAAATAGCATCACAGTTAACAAAGTTGCATAATGCAGATCTTGTGATTTTCTCGGATGGCTGATATAATAAGATAATAATGAAAAATACATTCTCAGCATGAACTTCCAGACTATATTCAGACAGGTTAAAATTCATAAAATCTTTGAAATTATAAATGATTTTGTGAGCTCACAGTGGCTGAATAACTAATGAGACTCAGCAGACAACTCAATTTAATGTATGACTTGCTATTTCTTTTAATCACTCAGCTCCAACAATTTCATCATAGAGTTTTTTTCTTCAGAACTTTGGAACGCTGAATTAGCTGCAGCTGCATTGAATACAGACTGCATTAGAGTAACTGATTATCTTTAAATGAAAACTCAAAATAGAGGTGAGTAGCATTTATGATAGAAAACTGCCTGATTTCAACGAAGATATTTGGTGGGTTAGAATGACATCTAGTGACTAGTTCAGGTTCTAGTGCTGAGATATAAAAATAAGGAATAAAAAAAAACAAAAAAACAACCAAAACGAAACCCACAGAATAAAACTCTGTTTTCCTCTGATGATTCTTTCTTTGCTGCCCCTTATGAAAGATTTAATGTAAAGGAAGGCATAAATGTAAATGACAGCAAACCAAATCCAGAAACAATGAAACTGGAAGGAAAATCACTGAATTAAAGGCAAAAAAGGCATTGGTGTAAGGGGAAAAAGCAGTAAAATGTGTAATGTTTCTAAGACTCCGGGAATTCAAAATTAAGACCCCATCCCACTCTTCAATGCAGATTTATCATTCAGGAAATAAAATCTCTCTTTTATATGTGTTCTACCCAGGCAAATAAATGTTAAGAGACTCTTGAAGGAAGTTTATGAACAGAAGCTCACCCATGTTGTGAAAATACAGTTTTATAGAGACCCAAATCTCCAGCTATGAATGATAACCAGTGGTTCTCTCCTATGTGATGCAATCATTCCACTGATTCACAAAACAGTGCATAACAGGGAAAGAGTTCATATGGTATCTCATCCAAGTCTAATATTAACTTGGAAATATTAACAGGAAAATATTTGTATTTGGTTAATCCTAAGAATATGCAAAGATTTTTTTCCATGTCTAATTCTGGATACACAGCTGCAAGTTGTTGAGATTAAGGATTTGAGAGACAAATGGGAGAGTTAAACATCAGTTCTATGTCTGAAAGTAGAGAAAAAGTTTTCAATTGAATTGAATATTCAAATTATTTTGAGTACATATCCAGTTGAAAAAAGTTTGAACAGTGTTCCCAATCTTTGGCAAATCTCTGGTGCTCAGAAGGTAGCTGTGGCACTAGCATTGCATATGGTAACTTTCTGAGTATGTAAAATGTGTTTTCTTCTTTAGATCTGCAGTGCCTTTTGATCATACATGATCAGTCTTGTCCTGTAATAAATGTCGCCATCTCCTGTTATTTGTTTAATGTGTGGGGATATTGATCACTGACAGTGGTACAGACACTCCCACAGACTGGAGTGATCAAAGACAACCACTGCTCTCTTGTCTTTTCTGTACTTTCAGATTAGATTTATCCCCTTTGTGAAAACCAGCTGTTGCAAATACTTGGAAAAGCATTCAGATTCTTTATCCAGGGGCACTGAGGATAAATATGTTCAACATCTTACACTCACATACAGCATGACTGGAGCTCCAATATGTATTTCAGACAAATGTTATGTATAGTCAGTGCATGCAAAACCTTTTTCACCCTTATTCATTACATGAATGACAGCAATGAACATTGTAATGTATGAGAGACAAAGAACTTACGAATGAATAGGCAGGAACAGAGAAAATGAGATGTGAACTGAAAGTCGGGAAGGAATGTATTGAAATTGTCTGTATTTTAGTGTTTAGATTCACTCTGTGTGGGCATTGCTTACAGAGAACCAGTCACAGGAAAGGTCAGAAAATCAGTGTCAGATAGCATGAATCTGATCTGATAGGCTTTCAGAGAAAAAAAAAACCACTGTGTTCTGTGCTAAGGGTGAGGGCAGAAGAATCCCTTACATTTTCAGTAAAAACATTCTGGAATAAACTTCTGTTCTGCAAGCCCAAATCTGAGCTTTACTGAAGCAGACATGGAAACTGTTTCCCACAGCATACAGGGACCTGATGATGTGGATACCGACAAGGAATCAAGAGTTTTCCTAAAGCTCTTTCTAATGCTTACTACACAGATTACCAAACATGTTTTTTCTCTACTAATGCCTACTTTGTCTACACAAATTCTGAATGCTTGTTCATCTGGGTATTTGCATGCACTGGACAGCTTCTGTAGGGAGTTAATTTAGATAATAAAACATAAAGAAATGATCTAGAACAAGGCTATGGAAACACAGAGGCAAAACAACACAGAACTGCCACTGAGCATGACATTTTTGTTCCTTTACCTACCTAATTTCAGATATTCAGCTCATCCCTGTACTCAGCATTGCACTCATAAACAACCTGAAATTGTGGCAAGCTATTCAACAGTAAGAAATATGTTAAGTAAAAATTAAACATGGTAATCCATTTGATGTCTTTTAGGGAATTAATCTCTGGCTAACCATCATCAGTGACAAAAATTTTACAGTTTCTTTGTTACCATTTCTGGAATAGTTTTGTATTTTTTCCTGGTTTCTTTAGTATGAAGAAGCTCTTTGGAAGTATGAAGAAGAACATATGAAGAAGCTCTTGTAAACTTGCAAACCTTATTTACAAGCCACCAGATACTTTCAGATTTATATATATATATATGTGGAGATATATAGGCTATTCATGAAGGCTATTCATGAAGGCTCATCTTAGTAAACATTATTTTTATCCAATTTGAATCATGTGATGAGAGCATCAGAATGAGAGGAGGGAATGTGGCAGAAGTCTGCTTGGTAGCAAGTCCCCTCTGAGTGCTGACAACACGTTGGCTGCACATATCCTATGCTTATGACACAGCAATGACATCTTTGCTACAGCAAGTGCAATTGTATGGAGATCATAGCTCTGCTGCTGTATTGAGCTTACATGGCAAAATTTATTTGAGGGTGTGGGAGCTGCAGGGATGTCTGCATCAGCAGAGCCTGGCAGCTGCCCTATGCCAGGTAACAGCCAGCTCCAAAAAGGAGTGGGAAATTTGCTGGACATTATTGCTGGCATGATGAGTGTATCAGTCTCTGTTCCTTGCAGTGCCCTGCAGAAGTCAGCTAGACTGCATGTGGGTATATAAAGCTGAAGTTACTGTTTTTTGACTGCTACAAAGAGCAAAGGAGTGAGTGACTTTGTCTGAGTTACCTCTGGATAATGCTTACTGTGTATTTATTTCCTTCATCCAGAATCTGGAGTAAACCTAATGACCTATCTGAACACTTTCTAGAAGTTCAGGTCAAGCATTGTTTTATTGTATATTTTCATCTTCTTGCATTTTCAGCTATTTTATATTAAGCTGGAAGGAAATTAATGTCCTGGACCATTTTTATTCACTGGTATGGAACATGCTTATTACAATTTTACATTATAGCAAGATATTGCTACTATTCTGGGTTTATCATATATATTAAAGGCCTTTACATATTTTTCATTTTTAAAAACATGGACAAGATCATCTCCATACCACTGCAGTACTGTAAAACTATTCTACCTGATAGGCCGGCAAGCTGCCTGGCTGCAGTTGTCTTAAATCTCGACTTTCCATTTTCTCCACTCAGGTGGGAGCCATTTGAAAATGTTCACAGATATTACAGGATTTTCTATCGCTATCAAGCATCACACACTAAGCTGTACAGAATCATAATTTCCTACAGTTTGAAGATATTAATATATGACTTCCTATGTCCCACATCAAATAAAAACACCATAATTGAATTTTCTTGGGAAGCATCTGTCTTTATTAAAATCAGTCAGCATACACAGATTTGTCTGCTAATTAAGGGAATACTCT